TTTCTCTCAAAAGTCACTGATTAGAACAATTATAGCCTTCTGCTTGTTTTGTTGTTGCTGTGGATTCACATGTCTGCTCATCAAATACCTGGTCCAGGTGAACCACTGGGTTACGCACGCCTGCTTGGCTCCTGTTCCCACAGGGCTACTGGCAAGCTAATTCAAAATGCCCGGCACATAATAGGGATTCAATGAATTTGGATTAATGAACTCAGGATCAAGTGAGCCCCCAACAAGTACTATCAATGATAACACCATACCATAGGCAGTTTTTGTGCTTATGTTAAAAGTTTGGGGTGCTTCATGCTATAATCCAAGCAAATATGCTTCCAATTCTGGCATAAAGACATACATGCCCAACACTTAGCCAATGACAGTTTAATGCTTAGCATGTCCCATCCACCCTGCTCTGTGGCCCCGTAAGTGAATCTTTGAAACTGGTTCTTAATTCAAAGATATGTTAGAGAGATTTCTAAGCCAAAAGGGAGGGGAGAAATACAGGGCACATTAGTCCCCTGGTCTCCTGTGTCCTTCGGCAACTCGTGTACTGTTTACTCTGATATCTCCTCACCGCCATGAGACATCAACCAGACTAACACCATGTGATTTCTTTTTAAACTCAGGGAAATAAAATGTTTGAGAATAAGAAATCCAGGAAGTCAGTTGCAGATGAAAAAGTGACAACTATGGCTCTCTAAAGAGATGTGTATTTTAGAAAAATATTATTTTACAAATCCTCTATCAAGTAAAAGGAAGAATAATAGGATGGTGTTGCATTCCCATGTAGTCAAAAGCATCATAAACAACACAACTAGTATTGTTAGTAAAAACTAAAATGCCAAAACAATTCAGACCCACCCTTCCCATATTTGGTGTTAAGTTCTTTTGTTTAACTACTAATATAAAACATACTTGTTGAAAAAAAAATCACAATACATAACTGGTATGACTCCTCATCCTCCTCCTTTTATACGGGTAACCACTGCTCATTTTGTGTATTCTTCCAAAAAGTTTTCCTTGCCCATATTAACGCATATACATAAACACACACACACACACACACACACACACACACACTATTTGAATTTGACATAACTTCTGAGGGCCTATGCAATGAGGAACATAACAAGATCAGATGAACGTGCTTCTTGATTTAAATTTTTCACAGAAATATTATCGTTCAGTGTATTACTCACAAAACATTTTTTAAATGTAAACTTCATCACCCTGAGAAGCATGTAAATTTGATACTATTACAATTTTATACAGCAGGAAACTAAAAAGAGAGGTCAAGTACTCTGCCCAGAAACTTACCCAGTAGCTACAGGAAACCAAGTCAGGCCTAGCACACAAGTGATAGGACTCCAGAAGTAGGACACCTTTCATGAAATAAATGTGTTAAGTGATAATAAAGGTGAGTCTAGTAAGAAGGCAATCTAGAAGACACGTTTGAATTCAGAAATCACATAATGATTAACAAGAACTTATATGACTGAGCTTACCTAAAGGCAGCAATGAGTGGTGCATAAATCGAGTCCCCATCATAAACATATAAATGGTCCCAACTACACTCTGTAGCAAAATGATTGAAACGAAGTCTCATTATTCTATTTGGCCTGGAAAAAAAAAAGTAATTTATAATAACCATGACTATCAAACATTTGAAAAAAATATATAGGTTTTTGAAGAATTTACAGGGAGAAGAAATTAGTAAACAGTATTCCTTCCTTTGTCAAAGATTAACTTAATACTTACTATGGGTAAGAGACCACTCAACAAGCAATGGTAAACAAAACAGATATG